GACTCATGTTGCCTTGTTTCTTTGTATGTTGTGATTTTTTCCTAACTATGACCTTATTGTTTATTTTCCTTGGAACTTTATCTGGGGAATTCTTTGAGGTCTCTCAAGTTGTGTTCCTACAAAGAGGATTTGCATTTCCTCCTGCTAACCCAGGAACACTTTAAATTAAATGTCTGGCTTTAGAGGTTTCTGCCTGCACAGGTGTTAGATTCCATTCTGACCTGAAACCCTCACTCTTGTCACTTAGCTTAAGGTGTGACCTTGGGCAAGTCCTTTAATCTCTTTGCCCCTGTCCCATGTCTATGAGAGAGTGATAACAATGCCTCCACCTAAGGCTATTCTAAGGATGAAATGGGATAATGTACATAGAACTTGCATGGGGTTCCATACACAATGGGTAGGCAGTGAGTGCCATTCTCCTCCCCCAAGGAGCCCCCTCTGCTGCTCTGCCAGTAGGGGCAGGCTGATGGCAGCCCCCAGCCTTCATCCTGCCTCGCCTGTGGGGGTTATAGTGGGAGCAGAGTGCTTTAGGCTTCGATCCTGGGGCTCATTCTGCCTTCAGCTTTGAGGTGACTGAGCTTCCTAAAGCCTTTGACAGATGCTCCTGCCCTCAGTCTTGACCAGTCTTGAGTTGTCTTAGAGGTCACTTGGGACTAGGTAACAAGAAAGGTGACATTTCACAGATGGTTTTCTTCTTCAGATGCTGTGGGAATTTTCTGGCTGGTTATGATTTTTTTAAAAAAAATTCTTTGTAACTGTCTATATGAAAGACATTATGCTTGTTTATAATTTTTAATCCTGAGAATATACATTGACAGTAATATAAGTGTAAAATAAACAGAAAGTTGTATATTGGCATGAAAATGTTTTAAATTCTTTTTGTAACAATGAATATGAAAAAATAAATTTAATAATATGAACTCAACTGTATTGAAAAAAATGGGAAAAAGGAAGCTGAAAGGAAATATGTCAAAGTATCAGCAGTCAGAAATGGTTACTTCTGAATGGTGAAATTCTTTCTCTCTCTCTTGCTCTCTCTCTCTCTTTTTTTTTTTTTTTTACTGAGGAAGATTTGTCCTGAGCTAACATCCATGCCAATCTTCCTCTATTTTTTAGTATGTGGGCTGCCGGCACAGCATGGCCACTAACAGAGCAGTGTAGATCCATGCCTGGGAACTGAACCGAGGCCACCGAAGTGGGACACACTGAATTTAACCACTAGTCCACTGGGGCTGGCCGTGAATGGTGGAATTTTTGAATAATCTTTCTTCCCCAATGGCAGCATGGTACAGACAGCGGTCCGAGGGTTGCCTTGGAAGTCAGAAAGTCTTGGGTTAAATTGGTACCTGTGTGGCCTGAGACAAATGACAAGCTCTCTGTGTCTTAGTTTCCCCATCTGTTGGGTTGTTTTGAGCATGAAATGAATAATGGGCCTAAAGTGCCTCGCCTGCGATCTGGCACAAGCTGGCTCCATAACGGCAGCAGTTATTATTTTTACACATCCATATTCTTTCCAGATTTTTAAAAACTGAACATGTACTTCTTTATAATCAAAGAGTAAAATAGAAACTTAACAGCAGCAACAATAACAAAGGTAGTATATGCTTTGCTGACTGAAGTACTTTATATCCCCAGGGTGGATCTGTGCAGTTTCCAGAGTCTTCCCTGACTCCAAGGAAGGGCCCATAGACCTAAATACTTAGGAGCCACTGCAGTGGGGTGCTGGGCAGGGGAGAGGCTGGAGAGAGGGCGGACTGCAGCCCTGGCTTTAGAGATGCTGAGCCTCTCTCCCCTCTGCCCTGCCCAGGACGCAACGAGCCCCTGAAGAAGGAGCGGCTGAAGTGGAAGAGCGACTACCCCATGACTGATGGGCAGCTGCGGAGCAAACGGGATGAGTTCTGGGACACGGCCCCTGCCTTCGAGGGCCGCAAGGAGATCTGGGACGCCCTCAAGGCTGCTGCCTATGCGGCTGAGGCCAATGACCACGAGCTGGCTCAGGCCATCCTGGATGGAGCCAGCATCACCCTGCCTCATGGTGAGCGGGCAGGGCAGGGGCTTTCTCCCCACTGGAGGGAGGGGGCCATCAGTGCCATTTAGGGCAGAGGAGAGCCCGTGGCCAGCCGACCACACATCAGGCGTTTCTCTCCAAGCTGGTGGGTGGTGGAGGTGGCTGTTCACTTGTTCGTTCAGGCAGCTCTTCCTGAGCGTGGACCGCGAGCAGGACACAAAGGAAAGCCAGACAGCCACTGCTTGCCCCATGTGGGGACAGAAAGGCACCAACAAACCTCAAAGCAGTGTGATGAGAGCCATCTAAAGATTGCTTGGGGTGCCTTGGGATCCCAGAACATCAGAGATACTCACCTGCTATTGGGTGCTTATTGTGTGCTGGGCGCTGAACTAGAAGCTTCTGCTGCATATCTCACTTAAGGTCATAACAGCCTTATGGGGCCGTGTAAAGTGGAGGGTAACAGTGAAACTCTAGAGTCGTGGACCTCGGTTTAACACAAGTGTCTCCATTTCCTAGCTGTGACCTTGAGCAAGGAGCTTCTCAGATTTAAAGTCTCAGAGGCTCAGAACTGTAAAGCGGGGACCCTTACCTCATAGGACAGTTGTTAGGATTCCATGAGCTATGCCTAACATTGTTTAGTCCAGTCTCACACTTAGTAGGTGCTCAAGGCACAGTCAGTGTATTTCTATGTGCAATGCGTTGTACATGTGAGGAAACTGAGGCCCAGTAAGGTGGAAGCCACAAAGAGCAGGGCCTCTGCTATCTCGTTCATCCTCGTAAGCCCAGCACCGCACACAGGTGCTCAGGAGAGAGCTGCTGAATGAACGAGTGGAGAGTTCAGTACTTTGCCAGGGTTGAACGAGCCAGCACCTGATGGAGCTGGAATGCCAGCCCAGGTCTTCCTGACTCGACCTTGAGCTCCTGCCAGCTGTCCCAAGGAGAGCTGACTGTAGGGTGGGTTTGGGGACTGTGGGGTGGCAGTGACGGGTATATTAGTTTGCTCAGGCTGCTATAATAAAATACCTCAGATTGGGTGGTTTATGAAACAACAGAAATTTATTTCTCACAGTTCTGGAGGCTGAGAAGCCCAAGATCAGGTACTGGCTGATTTGGGTTTGGTGACAGCTCTCTTCGTGGCCTGCTCACTGTGTCCTCACGTGGTGGAGGGAGAGAGCTCTCTGGTGTCTCTTATAAGGACGCTAATCCTATTGGATCAGGGCCCCACCCATATGACCTCATTTAACCTTAATCACTCCCAATTACTCCCTGTCTCCAAATACAGTGACACTAGGGGTTAGGGCTTCGACGTACAGATTTTGGGCGGCCACAATTTAGTCCATAACAGTGGATCCCCAAGCAGACTCAGCCCACCCTGCCTTTCCCACAGGCACCCTCTGTGAATGCTATGACGAGCTGGGCAATCGCTACCAGCTGCCCATCTACTGCCTGTCGCCACCCGTGAACCTGCTGCTGGAGCACACTGAGGAGGAGAGCCTGGAGCCGCCCGAGCCCACACCCAGCGTGCGCCGCGAGTTCCCGCTCAAGGTGCGCCTCTCTACAGGCAAGGACGTGAGGCTCAGCGCCAGCCTGCCTGACACAGTCGGGCAGCTCAAGAGGCAGCTGCACACCCAGGAGGGCATCGAGCCATCCTGGCAGCGATGGTTCTTCTCCGGGAAGCTGCTCACAGACCGCACGCGGCTCCAGGAAACCAAGATCCAGAAAGATTTTGTCATCCAGGTCATCATCAACCAGCCCCCACCACCCCAGGACTGATGAGCCCACGGACCCCTGGGCAGAGAGGCCGAGGAGGGCCTCTGCCAGGCTGAGAGGCCTCCCAGCTGGAGCACTAGGACCCCCATCCCTGCTGCTGCCTTCCAGTGCTGTTCTTTCTTCAGGGGCACCTCCCTGCTGTATGGCTGCTGGGCGAGCCGTGAGGGACCCTGCCTCCCAGGGGCACTGTGGGCCACCAGTGCCCAGCACCCAGGAAGCAGCATGCTGCCACACACAGGCCTTGCCAACCTTGTCAGAGAAAAGGCAAACTGGGGCCCTCCATCCTGCCTCTCTCCTGTGGCGGGCTCGAGCCACAAGGGCCAGCCTGGAGGCCCTGGAGCCCAGATCTGTCATCTGGTGCTGCCGGCTGTGCTCACTCCGGTTTTCTCCTCAGGGTCTGAAGCAGCTGCTGTCTCCTTCCCCTGCCCCCACCCCCTGACTCTGCCCGGGGCACAGTGCCAGTCCCCCGGAGGGGAGGGGACCGGACCGCTGGGGAGTCCCAGGGGCCGGGAGCCTGAGACCGGCCTCTGCCTCTCCCTGCCCGCAGCACAATTGGCAGAGATGAGGCGAGTGGCCGGACAGCTGGGCTGTTGTGGCAGGGGTCTGCACAGGGCCATCTCCTGGCTGTCACCCAAGTGGTGGGGGGTCTGCAGCCTGGTTGTGGCCCCACAGCAGGTCCCTGTGTACAGACGTATCTGCATATTTATCAATAAAGCCTTTTGCTCCTTGCTGTTGACTTGCCTGGCTTTGACTTTGGGTTCTCCTGCCGCTCTGTGGAGCCCTGGGAGCCAGTTCTGGTGTGGGAGCAGGTGGGTGCAAGGCCTCCCCCGCTGCTCCAGGCACAGCAGAGTACGGTGGAGCAATCCTTGAACGGCTAGCATTCCAGGCCCTGTGTTTTCCTAGGTCCTTAGGAAAAGCCACTCAACCTCTGAACCCACTTGGCTTTTCTTTTTTTTTTTTTTAAAGATTTTATTTTTTCCTTTTTCTCCCCAAAGCCCCCCAGTACATAGTTGTATATTTCTCGTTGTGGGTTCTTCTAGCTGTGGTATGTGGGACGCTGCCTCAGCGTGGCCCGACGAGCAGTGCCATGTCCGCGCCCAGGATTCGAACCAACGAAACACTGGGCCGCCTGCAGCGGAGCGCGCAAACTTAACCACTCGGCCACGGGGCCAGCCCCCACTTTGCTTTTCTTTAGAGTGGAGATGATGCCACCTGCCCTGCCTCCTTCCTCAGTTGCTGGGAGGTTTAAATGGGATAACCGATGGGAAAGTGCTTTGAAAACAGGCAGCATCTCAGGAAGGGGGTGTGAGTTACCTGCTGGTCCACTCCAGCTGCAGGAGCCACCCCAGGACTGAGGTGCGTGCAGAAACCCTGGAGATGCTGCACCCTTGGTGATGTTAGAGCAAAATCTCTGACAGATTTAGTTGATGAGCATGTGTTGGCTTGTCAGTGAGAGAACCAGAGAGAAAAAGGAGCCGATTCCTGCCCTTCGCGAGGGGAGAGTGTGCATATGAGCAGAGAGGGGAATCTCAGATGAGGTTGTTCAGCGAGGGGCAGGCCATGTGAGCATTCCAGAACCCCAGAGCCATGGCATCTGTGGTTCCCCGGCAGGTTAAACCCGGGTCGAGGTGACCCAGGGCTCACTCCCACAGTTCCAGGTGTGGAAGTGAGCAAGTCCAGAGCTGCTTTTTCTCCAGTTGGGAGTATTTTTCTTTCTGAGTGAGCACGGCCAGTCCCTGGTCAGGGTGGCTTGACAGGGAACCCGGGGAGGAAAGGATGATCAGTCAGAGCTGGTGTCCTCGTCTGCTGGGCTTGGCACTACACTCTGGCCCTTTCAGTGGCTTCCTGAGACCCCTCTTGAAGCAAGACCCTGTAAGTCTTGCAGAGGCTCTGAAGACTTACCCTGATGTGGTGAGGCTTGTCAGGGACTAATAGATGTGCGGCCACGTGCAGTGATGCTTCACTAGGGGGCGCTGTGGGACCCCAGAGGCCACGGCCTGCAGGAGCTGTGGGCGGTGAGGGAGGCAGCTGCCCTGACCCCCACCCACCGCCCTGGCACTCCAGCCCGGATGAGCAGATCTGCCTCTTTCCAGAGCCACCAGGGCCTGTTCACCAGACAGCCTGGGGACTCAGGCCCGTCTTGGCTTTCAGGCCCCTTCACTGGCACGGGCTGGGCACAGTTTCCAGGTGTCCAGCAGGTGGCACTGCCATCAGGGCTAGGGACAGCCAGCGGATCCTTTGTGCAGCCCAGCAGCCCTGGCTAAGGCCCAGCTGGGCCCAAGCACTCACTCAGGACCGTGGCTGGGCAGGCTCCTTCCTGCAGCCCGTGCTCTTGCAGTGCTGTGCCCTCCGGCTCCAATAGGCCAGGGGCTGGGGAGCCGACTGTCCCTGCCTCCCCCTCCTCCCTGGGGCTGCTCGGGGTGAAGGTGACAGGTGGGGGAGGCAGGTGGAGAAATGGGCCAGTGAGCTCATGGCAAAGGCGCCTGGTGGGGTGGGGGTGGGTGCCCTGTCCTATAAAGCCCCCAAGGCCCTGTGGCCTGCAGAGGCGGTTACAGACGGCACCATGGCAGACACTGAGGCCGTGCAGAGGGCCACGGAGCTTATCGATCAGCGGCTGGCAGAGGAGGAGGAGAATGAGGTATGGGCAGGGGTGTGGGGCCCCGAGGGCGTTGTGAGGAGATCCTGCTCTGCTGTTAAGGGAAGGGAGAGCCTGGCTGCCACACTTGAGGTGGGGAGGGGACAGGTGTTCAGGCTACTTCCATTCCTGCCCCAGGTGTTCCTGGCAGAGGGGTTTGCTGACAATGGGAGACTGAGGCTTCAGCCCCAAGAACTGAGAGACTGTGGGGTAGGCGAGCCAAGCTGGGCTCCCTGAGACTCTGCCCACCCACCTGGGCTTTGAGGAGATGGGCCAGGCTGCACAGACCAGGACAGCTGGGGTGCTGCCTGGGAGTGTGGGGCCCGAAGTTCCCCCAGCTGCTGGGTGGGAGGCTGGGACAGGAGAGACTCCAGTGTTTGGTCCCTGAAGAAGGAGAGAGTCTGGGAGGAGAGCAAGGAAGGGACACTGGAAAGGGAGGCATGGGTTTTCCCAGGACTGCCAGCCACACTTGGGGAGGCCTTGGGAGCGTGGGGCTCTGGACAAGGGCATTCTCTCTGGGATAAAGAAGTCGGGGGAGGAGGGTGTGGGCTTGTCTTATCCTTCATTTTATTTAAACTAATACTTGCCCTAGAGTCTGCTCCGCCAAGCACCCGGTGCTGTGAGGAATGAGAGGATGGGTACCAGGCCTCGTGGTACCCACCCCTCATTCATTTTAGCCAACGTTTGTTAGGTGCATGATCAACTAAGAAACAAGGCAGAGTGAAGAAATGGTGAAATAGAGGCGTTAAATCAGAAGTGAAGGAGCACAGAGGGTGGGTGAGTCATTCCCACTGTGGGCCCTTGAAGACTTCTCCCTGGACAGGATGGCATTTGAGTTGGGCCTTCAAGGATGGTGAGTGGAGATCAGGAGCGGGGAGGGTATTCCAGGCTAGGGAAACGACAGGCGCTGACGACAGGGTGAGTGGAAGCGTGACTGTCGTGAGAGAGTCTGGTAGTAGAGGCTAAGGCTGGGAAGGGAGGCAGGGCACCAACCAAAGACGGCCGTGTGAGGGATTTATTCCGTGGGCAGTGGGGAGCCACTAGATGTTGGTGAGTGAGGGAAAGTGGTGCCATCTGACCTATTTTAGGAAGACAGCTCTGACAGCCCTGAGAAGGACTTCTTGGAGCTGGAAGGACTGGCCCTAACAGGAATGGGAGGGAGGAGATAAATCAGTTTAGAGGTAGACTCCATTCAAAAAAGGCAGAGGGACTGAATGGGGGTGAGAAACATGGAAGGATCAGGACTCCAGTGGAAGAGGAGATGAGGACCAGGGAAGGGGGGGCCAGGATTGTGGGGGAAGAGCTGGGCATGAGCCCATGGAGCCCTCGCCAGGGCATCCCTGGATCTCCAGGAATCCACATAAGGGCATGTGCACGTGGGCTGGCCAGTGCCAGGCAGGTGAGTCATGCTGCTGTGCCATTTCTGGAGGGCTGCCACTGCACACAGAGACCTTCAGCAAGGGGACACAGAGCAGTCCTCGTCCACTCATTCATCCAACTAATATAGCAGCAAGGCTGTCAGGACGCCAGGTGCCCGCAGAGCCAGCCTTCCCACTGAGGGCCTCCCACGTGCCAGGCCCTGTGCTGAGCACCGGACAGGCATCCTCTCGTTCAATCTGTACAGTCATCTCTGAAGTAAGGTGGAAGTTTTGTTTTGTTGGATCTCGTGAACCAGCATCCAATTCAGTAAACATTTATTGAACACCTACTGTATGCAGCTCACGAAGACAAATCTGAAGCAGGTGGCTATAGAGTCTGGCTAAGGCATGAGTGGACATTAGAGTCCCCAGTAGTTTCCACCAGGCCCCAGCCCAGCAGGGTTCTCAGAGGAGAGCTGCTGTCCAGCCGGCACCCCCTTCTCGGAGTGGGAGGAGAAGGGAGGCCCCCAGGCCAGCCCAGGGGCTGGGGCTCTGTTGTGGGGGCTTACTGGGTCAGGTCACCACTGAGGACTTAGGGGTGGGCAGAGATGCTGGGCCCACCTGCCGTCATCCATTAGCTCATTGGTTTACTCTCCAAACATTGGCTGAGCACCTACCACGTGCTGGGCCCCGTGATAGGGATACCAAGACGATTAAGACCCAAGCCCACCCTCTGGATGCTGCGTGAGAGCCCAGCCAGGGTCCCACATGGGACAGTAGCTGCAGCCCTAGGTTGTCCCTTGTCCCTGGAAGAAGATGCAGTGTTTCAGGTGAGGCCAAAACTGGGGAGACCACAAACCACATAAGCCCAACATGGACGGGAGAAGCCAGTGGACAACAGGACCTTTGAAATAAAGCCCTCAAGATGACCCTTGAAGAGTCTAACACCGGAGCACAGTGGGAAATACAAAAGGCAGCTGAGAGCTCTGTAAGGACGGCCTTTCCTCCCCAGATGCCGTCTTACTCAGCACCCGCCAACCTCACTAATGTCCCTGGTGCATGGGGACTTCGAGACAGGGGCACCAGCACTTCACAAACAGTGGTTTCCTTTAGAAGAGAGAAGGAGGCCGGGAGGAAGTAGCCCAGGCAAGTCGGAGCTATGAATGGAGAGGGGAGTTGGAAGGAGTTCCACCCACCTTATTACAAGGAGAATCAGGTTAATACTTAGAGTTTACTTCAAGCAGAAAGCTGAGGGCTGTGGCTCCCAACCCTCAGGTTCTCTGAGAGCAACAGTTTCCACGCTCTAGGATTTCATGGATCAGTAAAATCTGAGGGAAAAACGTTGGTATCTGACATAAAATTGCCAAATTTTTGTATTGCCAAGTAAGCCCATTTAAAAGATAACTATCATCTCTTATCACTATTATCTTCTCAAAGTGAATTTTTTTTTAGGAAGATTAGCCCTGAGCTAACATCTGTTGCCAATCCTCTTCTTTGTCTTCTTTTTTTTTGCTGAGAAAGACTGGCTCTGAGCTAACATCCATGCCCATCTTCCTCTACTTTATACGTGGGACATCTGCCACAGCATGGCTTGATAAGCAGTGCGTAGGTCCACACCCAGCATCCAAACCGGCAAACCCCGGGCCACCGAAGCAGAATGTGCAAACTTAACTGCTGCGCCACCAGGCCAGCCCTCAAAGTGAATTTTTAAGGCCAAAAAAAAAATAATAATAATATCATTGCTTGAAAAAGTGAATATATTTAATTCCATGAAAACTCACTCCAGTAGCCTTTATTCTCATCTTGCTGGGGAGCCAGGACAGTCAGCGGGCAGGTGATTGAGCTGGAGTTGGAGTGAGGCTGAGGTGGGCAGCCTTGCTCTGGACTGGAGCCCTCCAGGAACAGTCAGGCGTGGGGCAGATGAAGGGCTGTGCGGTCATGTAGGAGGAGGTCCTTGGGGGATGCCCTTGGAGTGGTTGGGGGAGAGGCCACCTTCCTCCCCAGGTGCTGCAGGCAGGCCCCAGAGCATGGCCTCTCCTTGGCTCACCAGAAACTCCGAGGAACCACCCATGGAAGGAAGCTGCCCATGGACAAGCTGGTGTTGGAGGATGAGAAGAAGCACGGAGCTCAGAGTCCGGCCTTACAAAAGGTTAAGGTAAGTGCAAGGAGAACCCAATGTCTGCGCTCAGGGGACAGGCCACGCAGTTATGGCCCTTCTCCTTCTATTGTGGTCCAGAACCAGCAGCTCAGCACCCCCTGGGAGCACGTCAGCAGCATCTCAGCCCCACCCCAGACCTGCTGAGTCAGAATTTGCACTGTACAAGATCCCAGGGGACGCTTTTTGGAAGCCCCGGTGATGAGGCAGTCATACAACAGGGCATGCTGCAGGTGTTAAGGGGCTGCGGGAGGCTGTGTGTGCTGACAGAGATCTCCATACTGGTAAGAGAAAGCCAGTTTCCAGACCACTATGTGGAGGATGACCCCACAGGACACATGTCTGGAAGGGCATCAACCAGGGCCATGACAGACCTTACCTCTGGGAGACATTTTCTCTTCATACCTTTTTATGCTTCTGTATTACTTTTATTTTTTACTTTTAACATTAGTTATGTATTACTTTCATGATCATACGCACAGAAATGGAATTGCATGGAGAGCTTATTCGGACCCTATTGTGAAGACCTGGGTTAAGAATTGCCTCTTGGGGCTGGCCCCGTGGCCGAGTGGTGAAGTTCGCGCGCTCCGCTGCAGGCGGCCCAGGGTTTCGTTGGTTCGAATCCTGGGCGCGGACATGGCACTGCTCATCAAACCACGCTGAGGCAGCGTCCCACATGCCACAACTAGAAGGACCCACAACGAAGAATATACAACTATGTACCGCAGGGCTTTGGGGAGAAAAAGGAAAAAAATAAAATCTTTACAAAAAAAAAAAAAAAAAGAATTGCCTCTGAGGTTCCCTCATCAACTCCCCACCCTATGCGGAGCCTTGAACCCTGGCGGTTTTGAGGCAGCCCCCTCAAGCCTCCCGTGGCCCCTGATCTGAGCCGTCCGTGTCCCAGTCTCGTCTGCTTCTCCTCATCTTCGGCAGGAGAGCTAGACCTGGATTCTTTCTCTCTTGAGATTGTCTCCCCATCCTCCCGCTCAACCCTAGATCGGGGTGAGGGGTGGAGCTAAGACCCCAAACTCTATGCCCCAGCACTGGGGTTGATGGGCCATCGCCACGCAGGGCCAAGAGCGCGTGCGCAAGACATCCTTAGACCTGCGGCGGGAGATCATCGATGTGGGCGGGATCCAGAACCTCATCGAGCTGCGGAAAAAAAGAAAGCAGAAGAAGCGAGAAGCCCTGGCCGCCCCACAGGAGCCGCCTCCGGAGCCCGAGGAGATCGTAAGTGTCTTGGGGAGGACACCTGTTTGGGCACTGGGAGCCTGGGAGGGCCTGGGATCGCTGGGGGCCATTCTCCACGGCTGCACTCACGCCCTCCAGACTGGCCCTGTGGACGGAGAGACATTCCTGAAAGCCGCTGTAGAGGGCAAAATGAAGGTCATTGAGAAGTTCCTGGCCGACGGGGGCTCCGCGGACACCTGCGATCAGGTGATGTTCCCACTGGCCCCCGCACCTGTGCCTGCCTCCCTTTCTGCGTTGCCACCCCCACCCCGCCCACTTGTGGGCCTGTTTGAGAACAGGCATTGGGTGTCCTTTGGGAGGAGGGCCCCTCAAAAGATCTGAGATGCCCTCTTCCCCACACAGGAATTTATCTAAATGCTTAGACCCTTTTCAACTTGAACCACCTCTAGAGTAACAAATGTTGCGGGGTTTTTTAGGGAAGAAAGAGAAGTGGAATCAAATAAAAAGAGCCCAAGACTAGGAGATTTGGGCTTGAATCCCATCTCCACCACAACCTAGCTATGTGACCTGAGGCTAGGCCCCTCACCTCTCCATGCCTCAGTTTCCTCCTCTGTAAAATAGCCTATTTCCCTCAGAGCATATTATGGGGATCAAATAGAATATTACCTCGATAAGTATTTATTGAATGTATGAAAAAACTATAAAGCACATAATATTATTTTTGTGTCACATTGTATAGTATCATACTTCCTTTTTAAAATTATTTTTATTTTATTGTGGTAAAATATATATAACATGGGGCTGGCCCATTAGCATAGTGGTTAAGTTTGCATACTCTGCTTTGGCGACTGGGGTTCGCAGGTTCGGATCCCAGGCGCAGACCTAGGCCCTGCTCATCAAGGGATGCTGTGGTGGCATCCTATATATAAAATAGAGGAAGACTGGCACGGATGTTAGCTCAGGGACCATCTTCCTCACACACACACACACACATACACACACACATAAAATATATATATATATATATATATAACATGAAATATGCTTTTTAAACCATTTTAAGTATACAATTCAGGGGCATTAATTACCTTTGCAATGTCGTACGACCATCACCACTATTTTCAAAATGATTCTATCACTCATTGTATCTCTTTTTGTTTTCCCTGAAACTTTCTCCTTCACACTTCATAGGGTGCTCTCTCGCACTCACCTCCTGGGATTAAGCAAATTAATGGTCACCCCCTTCAGCCTGTGTTATCGTAGTCTTCGACTGCATGTCCTTTCCATTCTTTAGACTCCAGAGTCTTAATCTTCTTGGTCTAAGCCTCTCCTACCTCTGAGCACTGTGTTAGGTGCTGGGGGTACAAAAAAGAAAAAGGCAAGGGTTGAGAGTAGCTTGGAGACTGGTGCAGAACCAGATCTTTAGAATGTGGAAAGGTATTCCTGCTGGTGTGAGTGTTTCAAGAGACCAAAGCAGAAAGCCGACTGCTTTGGGAAGGGAGGAAGTTCGTTCCTTCTTTGAATCAGTACTAGGGGTGCACCTGCTGGTCTTGGCCCTGGGCTAGGCACTCGGGAAATAGAGTCAAGTGAGACTCAGCCCGCTCTCAAACACTCTCTCACAGTGGAGCGTTGCCTGGGCCCCGGGGAACACCTCTGGCCCAGAGCTTTCAAGAAGACAATGGCACTTGAGCTGCATCTTGTTGGAGTTGCAGGAATTCATCAAGCACTGACAGGGAGTGAGGGCCAAGTGGGTGTTCCGGCGCAGGGAACAGCCTGTGCGAAGGCCTAGCTTCATGTGCTTGAGGGTAGTGAGAAGGTCGGAGTCCCCAGGATAGAGGAGGACTCCAAGGCTGGGCAGGATAGAGCATAAAGGAGCTGGCAGACATGGAAGATATGGGGACCCAGCACAGGGGTCAGAATCGAGCTGGGGTAAGGCCTCTGTCTCAGCTTGGGTGGGAGATGAGGTCAGGCCTTGACAGTCTCTCTGGGGACAGTTCCGTCGCACAGCACTGCACCGAGCTTCCTTGGAGGGCCACATGGAGATCCTGGAGAAGCTTCTGGAGAGTGGGGCCACTGTGGATTTCCAGGATCGGGTGAGCAAGAGGGCAGGTATTGGGTGGGAGGTGGGTTCAGCACCAATAGACTTCCTGGGACACAAACAGGTTGCCTTGGGGGCCAGGCCCCACCTCTAGTGGGTTGTATGACCTTGGGCAGGCCTCATCTCCTCCAGGAGCCTCCTCTGTAAATCTGGCTTGGACTGGATGGGCCCCAAGTGTTCTTCTGCTCTGCTTGATCCACCCAGGCACTGGCGTGCCCCTGGCCCTTCCCTGTACCCTTCCCCTGGATGTCTCCCTGCCCTCTTGGCTGGGTTCCTTTCCCCCAGGGCACTTTCTTCTCTGAAGCTCTGCAATTAAGCCCCACCCTTCCCTTCTAGCTGGACTGCACAGCCATGCACTGGGCCTGCCGCGGGGGCCACTTGGAGGTGGTGAAACTCCTGCAAAACCGAGGGGCAGACAGCAATGTGAGGGATAAGGTGAGGCAATAATGCTCACAGATATTGGGGTGGCTGTGTGGCAGGAGGGTTGGAGCTAGAGGGGAGAAAAGCCCAGGAAGGCAGGAAGGTAGTGAGCTAGTCTGGTTTCTGGAGTGGCTGCAGAGTCTAGGGATGGGTGCCTGCCATCACCTGCAGGCCCTTCGAGACCACCGTCTGGAGACAGGAGCAGGAAGAGCAGACGAGAAGGGAGGAGAAGTGATCCACTATCTTGGAGGCTCTGGGACCACCCCGAAGATGCAGGATTTGTTCATCCATGCAATCCTTCATCATCCTTCTATCTGTCTGTCTGTCCATCCATCCATCCATTCATCTATCCATTCACTTATTCATTCGTTCACTTATTTATTCATCCACAATTTTTCTTCATTTGTTCCTTTATATGTAACCTTGAACAAGTGACAGCCTCTGAGCCTCTATTGCTCATCTGTAAAATGTCTTACAGAGAATAGATTAGATGGGAAAATGTATGTAAAATAACTATTTATTCAACATAAGGCTAATGTTTTGTGAGCTTTTGCCGTGCCCATCACATAGTCATCTCTCCATAAATAGCATCTATTATAATTATTAAAAGAAGGACAGAAGAGTAAGCAGTTGCTCGCAGCTGAGTGAGAGGGGACTCATAGAAGGCTTCCCAGCAGAGGTGGCATATAAATGCTTCAGAGTTAGACTATTGGATAGGATGGTGGGGAACTGTAGCATTCCCTGCCCCTCCAGGGCTCAGGCCTTGGCACAAGGACTGGGGGAGGGATTAGGCTAGAGTTAAGACAGCCTCCCTCCCAGAGGCACCACAGTCCAGGCCCCTTCAGCCAGCAGTTCCTGCTTCCTCCTCACCCAGCTGCTGAGCACCCCCCTGCATGTGGCCGTCCGGACGGGGCAAGTGGAGATCGTGGAGCACTTTCTATCCCTGGGCCTGGACATCAATGCCAAGGACAGAGTGAGTGTCCGGGTTCCCTCTTGCCCAGCCCCACCGTAGGGGCACAAGCAGCCTGAGGGCTCCCACATGCCCATTTGGGCCATGCTGAGTGTCACCCTGGCTCTAGGAAGGGGACAGTGCCCTGCACGATGCCGTGAGGCTCAACCGCTACAAAATCATCAAACTGCTGCTCCTGCACGGGGCTGACATGATGGCCAAGAACCTGGTGAGCTCCCTCCTTCCCTGACTCAGTCATCCATGCGCACTGCTTGCCCAGGCCCTGTGCTGGAGGCTCAGAGGAAATGCAGAAGTCAGCAAGACTCAGCCTGCCTGTCCTTGGAGCAGTCACAGTGGAGGGTCTCTCTGGGCCCCTGGGGGTTCGGGGCCCACCCAGCTTCCCAGCTCCCTCCATGTTCCCCTATGTCCAGATGCAAGTGCAGAGAAACAGCCAGGAGGGGCAGTAAGAGGACCTCCCAAAGACCCCACATGGACCAAAGGGGGCCCTAATGTCCAGGTTTGGGGAGGCCAAAATCGTGGAGGGACAGAGCTGCAAGGAAGCTCAGCACTTAGTGGGCATGACCCTTCCTAGCACACTGTGTTGGTTCCCAGTGTTCCCTGAGTTCTCAGGACCCTGTGTCCCCTAGTCCAAGCTCTTCCTTGGAGTCCAGAGCAATCACAAAAGGGAGGAGTATGGGTAGGGGTCCCCCTGACTCAAGAGAGGCTAAGGGGATAACAGATAAGTCAGGAAGATATGGGAGGGTGCAGATGAGGGCTTCTCAACCCAGCATCATTGACACTTTGGGCTGGGTAATTCTTTGTTGTGGGGGGAGCGTCCTGTGCATTGTGGGATGTTTAAGCAGCATCCCTGGCCTCTACTCAAGAAGCAAATAGTACCTACTCCCTCAGTTGTGATAACCAAAAGAGTCACTGCACATTGTCAGTTGCTCCTTGTTGGGAACAACTGGTGTAGATAAGGGCACCTCATGGCACAGACTTCTGCACAGTGACCAGATCTCCTCTTGGTTCCCCAGGCAGGAAAGACCCCCACGGACCTGGTGCAGCTGTGGCAAGCTGACACCCGGCATGCTCTGGAGCACCCTGAGCCAGCGTTAGAGCAGAACGGGCTGGAGGGATCTGCTGAGAGTGGGCGGGAGACCCCGCAGCCTGTGCCAGCCCAGTAAACACCTGCCCCAGCCCAGCTGGGCACCTGGCCTGGCCCCCACGTGCAGCTGGAGGGTCATAAGAATGGCCCCTAGAGCCAGCCCGGCCATTGCTCTGTGCACGACCCAGGAATGCCCACAAGCTACCGCAATAAAAAAAAAATCATTTTTGCTATGTGTGATGTTTGTTTCTGTTTGTGTCTGAAATGTTTCAGAAGGAAGGAAGCCTGGGAGCCAGGATGGGCTCAGGGGTGAGGGGAATTGGAGCCCTCTGGCCCCCCTGAGCCAGCCCTTTGCTTTTTTCTCCTGAGGTCTCTTCTTGCTTCTTCCCTGCCACACCGCCTCCCAAGTCCCAGCATCAATCAGCTTTGCGACGCCCTTGTCCTGGGCCCCCCTCCTGGTGACTGCTGTCCTGTGGGGCTGTGTGTGGCCAGCACAGGCCTGTCACGTGGCAGCCTTGGCAGGAGGAGCCTGGCAGGGAAGTGGGGCAGCCAAGGGGCGGCGATCACAGGCAGCTTCTCACCCAGTCCTGCTGTGCCTCCCACAGGGCAAGGCCGGCTCAGCCAATCGGCTCTGGCAACTGCGGAATTGCCAAGTGGAAGCTGGCGAGCTCCTGGCTTTAGGGCTGGGAATTGTGGGAGGAGGGCCCAGGCCCCACTGGAGACACCCTTTAGTGTTGGGACCTCAGAAACCAGCCCTCTGTCTGGCCAGAGGGACACTGGGTTGTGGCATTTCTTCACCTGCTTCCCAGGGAGAAGGAGGACCCTCCCCCCCACCCAGGGGCCTACAGGCCTAGCCTCTGACCCTGGGGACACAGCCCAGGCCTGCCCCAGCGCCAACAAGTCAGGGAGCAACAAATATTTAACTAGACACATTGATCATTAACAGCGGTAGGAAGGAGCCCGAACTCAGTCTCCCTCCTGGGCAGAGACCAGCTGGGCCTTGGGCCTCCTGCGGAGATGCTGGGCGCCCCAGTCTGGTCCTCTGTGAGGCAGGGTCTGAGCAGGGGCTTGTCCAGGAACATGGGGGGCTGGGCATCAGGGGAGGGGAGGAAGGTGGACATCACAGGCATCTACCCCCCTGTGACCACCCCCTTCACTGCCACTGCAGAAGTGGATTATGGGAAACTGGAGGAGAATCTGCACAAACTGAGCACCTTTCCCTTCCGAGGTAAGTGGGGCCCGTCCACTGTGGGAGTTGGAGGGGGGATGTGAATGACCCCTGTTTCCTCAGCCAGAGGCCAGAGGAGGGTATACAGGCTCTGTCGACAGGGACAGTTGACCCTGTGCTCAGCTTCAGTTAGGTACCCTAGGGGTCATTTTATTGTGGGAGAGGAACAACGGGCACTGGTCTGGAGTCAGGAGACAGGTGGGAAGCTACCAGCTGGCCTGTGACCTTGGACTGAATCTCTCCTGCCTCAGTTTCCCCAGCTGTAAACTGCTGGAGTCCTTTCTTAGCTGAGTGTTATTGTGGGGATCAAACTAGATGAGGGGTGTGAAAGCCCTTGTCAACCACGCCCTGTGCCAATGTGAGGGCAGCCGGGGGCCTCATCTGCCTCAAAGCCTTGTTCGCACTCTCTCTGCTGGGTGAAGCTCCCCTTGGCAGAATTAACTTCTTCTCTTCTTGATCCTCTGAGTCGTTTCCCCCTTTACACATGGGCCTCCCCTCTCTGAGGTCAGGAACCGGATCATATTTGTGACTCTCAATGTACAACACAGCTGCAGGCACAATAAATGAAAGCAGAAGCAGTGGCACGTTCCTCCCATCCGGCCCCGCCCACCCTCATCCCTTACCCACAGCTCCCCAAGGTGGTCCTCTCAACAGGCCCGTTTCACAGAGGGGAAGCTGGGGCTTAGAGTGACACGGCCACTTGCCCAAGGTCGCTCAGCTCATAAATGGCTGAGCTGGGGTTTGAACTGGGCGTGACGGCACGGCCATGCTCTGTTTCACTCCACTGCACCGACTGCTGAGTTGCTAAACCAGATGGCTTCAACAAACAGAGTCTGGTGGGCACCAGCGTTGGGAACGGAGTGGTTCCCACTGGGGCAGTGCAGTGGGGCCGTTAAGAACACAGACTCTAGAGTTAGATCGCAGCTCTGCAGACTTCCGGGGAGATGATCTCTCTCAGCCTCAGTCTCCCCATCTGACACAGGGGAGCAATAAAGCCCATCTCATAGGATCGTTGGGAGAAAAATCTGAGAGAATGCAAGTGAAAGCATGCTGTCAATTGTAAAGAGCGACGTACCTCAGAAGATATTGATCCAAAGATAACAATTATTAGAATGGCAGGACAATTGGCATTGTGGGCAAAGCTGCTTTGGGACAGTGACCGCTGGCATGACTGAGCTCTCATTCACATCTCAGTGCTGAGGTGAGGTGACCCTTCCCTAGGGGATGAGCAATGCCCTGTGGACACCCACGTGGAGCATTGACAAAAACTCTAGGGAAATTTCTGCTGGGGCTCAGCTCACTGCGGCCTGAAGGTGTGGGCTGAGACCTGGTTCTCTTGAAGTAAAGTGGGAAGCTCCTTGAATCTCTATGAGGAGAGCAGGCTCTGCTTTGCCTTCCGGGTTCAAGGAAGTGCAGGGAGCGGAGAGGCTGGACTCCGCATCTGATGTCTGCCTGCCACCCAGAGAATCCACAGAGACCCCCAGCTCTCTCTGGACCCTTCCTCCTTCTGCCCCGACTCCTGCAGAGGGTGTGGGGGTGCCCGGGAGTGCAGGCTGCGGTGGGTTTGGCAGCTGCTAGTCCTTCTCTCATGCAACCCACGGGGTGCCTGCGCCCACCTCATCTCTTCTGGAAGGTATTGCCTGAAACTGTGTAGCTCTTTTTTATTTTTAAAATTTTTTAGCAGTGTAAATTTGCACTGATTATTTTGAATAGAGTATACTTTTTAATATTTTATTTATTTATTTATTTATTTATTTATTTTGAGGAAGATCAGCCCTGAGCTAACATCCGTGCCCATCTTCCTCTACTTTATATGTGGGACGCCAACCACAGCATGGCTTGCCAAGCTGTGCCATGTCCGCACCCAGGATCCGAACCGGCGAACCCCGGGCCGCTGAAGCGGAACTTGCGAACTTAACCGCTGAGCCACCGGTCCGGCCCCAAGAGTATTCTTTTTAAATAAAACTTTTTTTCTTTTTTGGCACTTGGGCTAACATCTATTGTCAATCTTCTCTTTTTTTTTTCCTTTTTCTCCCCAAAGCCCCCCAGTACATAGTTGTATATTCTAGTTGTGGGTCCTTCTGGTTGTGTTACATGGGACACCACCTCAGCATGGTCTGATGAGCGGTGCCATGTCTGTGCCCAGGATCAGAACCAGTGAAACCCTGGGCCACCGATGTGGAGAGTGAAAACTTAACCACTCGGCCGCGGGGCCGGCCCTAAATAAAAGTTTTAACTAGAGGCTGGAGGGTGGAGTTGTTGCAGAAGGGCCATTCGGCCATGAACTCACACCCAAAAACAACCTCAAAGATGAACTTTGAATTGTTATTTTCAAATGAGGTTGGTAGATGACCTCAGAGCTCCTCCAGCAGGACTGGGGTGATACTGTTCCCCGTAAAATTTTAAGCTTATCTCTTATTCCCTTGGTATGTAGAGCAGACCATGGTTTCTTGTAATAAGACATTATATTTTCATGTATATTAAGTCCATTACTTTGTTAAATAAAATATTTTGTTTAAAATATCACATTTGGGGCCTGGCTCCATGGCCGAGTGGCTAAAGTTCCGCATGTTCCACTTTGGCAGCCCAGCTTCGTGGGTTGGGATCCCAGGCACAGACCTACTCCACTCACCAGCCACGCTGTGGAGGTGTCCCACAAACAAAAAAATGGAGGAGGATTGGCACAGATGTTAGCTCAGAGCTGATCTTCCTCAAGCCAAAAACAAGAGGAGGAGATTGGCAGTGGATGTTAGCTCAGAGTGAATCTTCATCAGCATAAACAAACAAATAAATAAATAAATAAAACAGCACAATTATTACAACCCTATTTGGGCATTTCTTTATTATTTTTTTAAATGTGTTAGATGGCTCTGGGAGGAAAAATAGAGTGGCCCAGGCCTGTTTCTACCCTGAGAGGCCCTGGGTATAACTTGGGGTTGTGGACCAAACTCTGAGTTGTTGGAACCTGTGGAGAGCCTGGCCAGAGGGCCACCTGTTCACAACCTGAACTGTGCCCATTTATTGGGGGAGGGAGGCACATTCTGGGTTTGCAGGTACATCTCTAGGCAAAAGGTAGCAGCCCCCATCCTGGAACGGCCCCAGGCATCTGGGACACGGTGAAATCTCTTGTCCTATCACTCTGCCTTCTCAGCCCACTGCTTGTCTCCCCCCGATTGTGACCTTATGTTCTTCGAGAATGAGCTCCTTCCTGGGTCTCTTTTCCTTCTAGACTCTGCTCCATAATGGGGCTGGAGGCTGCAAGTGGGGTTGGAATGTGCTGAGCTGACAGCAGGGGTGGGCCCCGGATGGAGGGACACACTGGCCTCAGGTGGCCAGGAATGGATGCCAGCCTAGCCAAGGGGGTTCTTCAGCCATGGCCAGCCTGACCCAGCAGTCTCTACCACCCGGGGTCACCAGATTGGGAGGGAGAAAAACCAAAGACTAGAAGATAAGAAGGACTGAGTTGCAGAATAGGTCACAAGCAGAAGGCAAAAAGGACTGAGAGTTGGGGAAGCTGCCCTTCCACTGACCTTGGGGACAGCTGTCAGGGTGGGAGACAAGTCCTTGACCTCAGGCACTGCCTGCCAGGCTAGATGTGAGGGTTGCTGTGGCTTCTCCCCCCCCTGCCCCCCAACCACCTTCCTCACAATGGGGTTCATTGCTGAGGCGGGAGGGGCATCCTAGGGAGGGCGCAGCAGGGAGCCTGCCCACCAGACACCCTCAGGGAGCCTGCCCTTTCAAGCATGCACCATACCATCTGGGCTCCCTCACTCCCAGTGTGCTCTTAGCTCTGCCTGCCTGGGGTCCTGGAGACCTTCTTGGAGCTCATCCAGCAACCATCATGCAGGGTGGTGCTGGGGACTGCCCTCTTACTCGGAGCTGGAGGCCTCATGCTGTGGATTCAGAGGAAAAGGAGAAGGAAGACAGCCTCTGAGTCAGCACCAGATGAGCATGAGCCACCAGAAGGCCGTAAAGCAAAGAATGAGGACTGGATCAAATCTCACTTTAGCCGCCTTTCCGAAGAGAAGCTAGCTACCTGCAACAACATCGCCAATGCCAGCAGCAGTGCCACCGCCCCCCAGCCTAAGGACAGTGGGGAGGCCAGCACCACGATTCGCGTGGAGACCTTCACCACCAGGCAAGACAGGGGCACAGGTCTTCACCAGGAGTCCTTCACCAGCAAGCAGAGGATGTCTGGGACCTCAGTGGTCAAAGAGACCCACAAGGAATCTGGAAAATCCTCATCCACAGATGAGGCCACTTGGGCTGCCGTGTCCGCCTGTACCAAGGAGATTGACACCAAGGGGCAGCAACTGGCTAACTCCATGTTGCAGCGTGCCACAGTTTACCAGAACTCAGGCCACCTGGAGTCCAAGGACATCAACCAAGAGGAGCTGAAGGCCCTCGAGGAGGTGGAGATAAAGCTGAAAGGGAATTTCCTCACCCAGCGGGAAACCACCGTAGCTGGTGTGAACCACACACACGCCTTCCATGGCCATACTCACCATGGCCACCAGGGTCACCCAAGCCACCCGAGCCACCAGAGCCACAGCCTGCCCAACCGCAGCCACCAGACCTACCACCCCTTTGAATCCACCTAACTATGGATGGAGACGCCCCTTCCCCCAACAGGGCTGGCACACAATCACAGGCCCGTTTTCTCTCCTATGGGGCAAACTTTGTAGCCCAGGGTGAGATGCTGCCACCCAAATCCCTTCTTCCTCAGGCCCCCACAGGGGTCCTGGGCCCCTTCGGCTCCATGAGTGGGGTCTGCCACAGAGAATGGCTCCTGATGGAGGGAGAGGGGAGAGGAAGCAAAGCAGCTGAGACAGACTCACGGGCCCCTGAAGACTCACCGAAAGAAGACAGACGAGGCAGATCCCAGGAGCAGCTGAGAGCCCCACACTGATGCCAAATGCCTGGAGCTGAGCCAATAAAGCCTTGTATCCCCTCACTCTGAGTCTGGGGGCTCTGTGGCCAGCCTCATGTCTGGGCAGGGA